CGTGCGCCACCACCGCCCGGCAACTTTTTTTTTTTTTTTTTAAATAAAATTTTCTATGTTGTTTGTTCTTTAGAACAAAATGGTTTTAGTTTGTTGTGCCACCCTCCTTCCTGGGAAAGAAGAAAGAAAAGGGTCCTGTCCCCTGAGGACAGAAAGCCTATGTGTCTCACAGGGAACATTTCATGAACTCCCCAGTCACTTGCTCAGAGGCCATTCTAATCTTCATACTGTACAATATTACTATATAACTTTAGGTTGTAGCTGAGCTTATTTCTTGCTTTTGTTTAATTATTATAACTTGAGCATTTTCACTATGTTCTTTACAATATTAAAAAAAAAACTTTCTGCAATAGAAAATATAAATTACCAAAAGAGAAAAGACGTTTATAATCCTACTGCTTTCTGCTACCACTGTTTTTTTTTTGTAGTTGGTCCCAGGTATTTTTCTTTTATACATATCAAGATATAATATGTGCAAGATAATTTGTTTATGAGCTTTTGTTAGTGTAATCAAATTCCTAAACAACTTAAAAGGTGAGGGGACATATTTTGGCTCACAATTTCTGAGACCTTAGTCCAGTATCTGGTGGCTCCATGTTTCTGTGCCTGTGGTGAGGGAGAATACCGAGGCACAAGGGTAACAAAAGAAAGTAGCTTACCTCATGGAAGCTAGGAAGCAGAGAGAGGAAGAGCCAGGAAGAGACTGGGAATGAGATAAATCTTTCCAGAATGTGCCCCTGGTGACTTACATTCTCAAGCATTCCACTACCTCAGTAATGAGATGGAATTTTTTTTCCCTGTGTAGCCTTGGCTATTCTTTAATTTTCTCTGTAGACCAGGTTCTCTTGAAACTCATGAGAGCTGCCTGCCTCTGCCTCCCAAATACTAGGGTTAAAGGTGTGCGCCACCACCACCCAGCAAGATCGAATTATTAATGTATCAATTAATCTGTCATTTTGGTCAAATCTTTTAGGATCCAATTACTTACCAAAACCCTGTCAGCAGAAAGCCAAGCATACAAACTTTTTGGAAATGTTTCATATCTAAACCATAGCAATAATACATGTATCTTCCTAAAATGTAAAATTTTATTTAAGAAAATTTTTATGTTAATTAAAGAGAGTAGTGTCTTGCTCTGTATCCTATCTAGGCTGGCCTGGAACTTGTTACGTAGTACAAGCTGACCTCAGACTCTTAGAGATCCCCTCCTACCTCTGCCTCCCGAGTTGGGATTGCAAATGTATGTTACTATACCTAGCTTCAGATAAGCAGTCTTTAAACTTTCTTGCTTAGTATTAATTACTGAATATAGTATTTTTAGATTTTTATTTATTTATTTATTTATTTTGATTTTGTTTTGGTTTTTTGAGATGGGTTTTTTATTTTTATTTTTTTAATATCATCTGCACTGTATGTGTGCCTGGAGTCCATAGAGATCAAAAGAAAGCATCAGAACCCCTGGAACTGAAGTTACAGAGGGTTACACTCACTGCCGTGTCTCTGGGAAAGCAGCCAGTGCTTTTAACCACTGAGCCATCTATTCAGCCCCTGAATACAATATTTTCAATACTCTGAGCTGAAGAGATGGCCAGCTAGCAGGTTAAGGCTCTTGCCATCAAGCCTGAAGGCCTGAGTTCAATCCCAGGACCCGCATGTGGAAGGAAAGCAGTGACTCCTCCAGATTGTCCTCTGACTCCACAGGAGTACTGTGAAGCAAGTGCACACCACACATACATCTACAGACATAGTAAAGGTCATAAGAAATTGAAAAGGTGTTTAAGGCCTGGATTATATTTTGCCATAGAGATGTTTCGTAGTTTATGGTAATATGGATACAGTTGCACATGCCAATAATCCCAGTCCTTGGGAGCTAGAGGCAGGAGGATCAGGAATTTGTTATCCTCTGCTACACAATGAGTTCGAGGTCAACATAGGCCACATGAGACCTTGACCCAAAAATCCCAGTACATTGTGTAATCTTGTGTTGTTCACTGGTAATTTTATTAGAATGTAGTCCTAAATCATTTTTCAGTGAATAGAATGCATGTTTTAAAAATATATCAAGGTGGCTTTCTAAAGTTCATCTTACAACTTAAATTTTTAATGGATATTTAAAATAGCTTTTTTTTTTTTTTTTTTTTTTTTAGATAGGACCTCAGTCTTTGACCTGGAACTCATTGTGTAGATCAGACTTGCCCTCAACTCCTAAAGGTGTTGCCTGCCTCTCCCTCCCAATTATTGGGATTAAAGGTGTATACATACCACCACATCTGGCTTAATATTTCAATATTTGACAATCCAATAAATACAAAAGGGTTTTTTCCTATTTATCTTATTTGTATTTTTTTTGTTTCTTCTGGGTAGGCTGTGGCAAATGAGTCTGGACTAAATTTTATATCCGTCAAAGGCCCTGAATTATTAAATATGGTAAGTTGTGTGGCACCTGCCCTTATTTTAATTAAGATAAACCATAATGAGTCTGATTATAGGACCGAGAGTCCCAAGGATCCCCCTGATCCACCTCTCCCGTGTTAGGATTGTAAGTTCTAGCCACCGGCTTGTTTTGTCACGTGGGTTCCTCAGACCCTCCTCACACTTGCACAGCAGGCTCTTATCTCCCCAACCCAAACCTGCTCTTGCTTAGTGTTGGTTATGGAGACTTCGTTTCTTTTCTTGTAATGATGTCTGGGCCTTGTGCATGCCGGGCAAATGCTGTACTACTTGAGCTACGCTCTCAGCCCTATCAGAAAAATTTTATGTCCAGCTAAAAAGTAAAACCTTTTCCTTACATATAAATTCTTATTACTCAGTCTTGATATATTGCTACTTATGGATTGCTATAGTTCCTTGACTGAACTTAATGTTTTTATTTAAATTTAGATTAAATTTAACATGGAATAAGGCATTATGAATCTATGATATGCCTAGTGCATTCACCCTGACTCCACTGTTGCTACATAATTTTTTTTCCTATTTTAGCAAGAATATTTGTTTGTTTATATATGAGAGTAGGGATCAGTTTGGTTTGTGTGTTTTCAAAATACTGTTAAATGAGGAACAGTTACTCCTGGGTATTTTACTATATAAGAAATAGGAAATTAGTTTTAGACTACAATAGAATTAATGGAATTTTTTTTTAACTAGAGATTTTATATTCTACTTAGTCTTGATTTTGTAAATAAAAACAACATATTTGATTAAATATGTAATTGGCTGTCTTTGTTTGTTTTGTTTTTCTGTGTGTAGCTCTGGTTGACCTGGAACTCACTTTGTAGACCAGACTGGCCTTTAACTCACAAAGATCCGCCTATCTCTGCCTCCCCACTGAGATCAAAGGCGTGCACCACCACTGCCTGGAGGCTGTCTAGTTTTTTTGTTTTTTTGGTGTTTTGTTTTGTTTTGTTTTGTTTTGTTTTGTTTTTACCTCTCCCTTTTTTTGGTTTTTTGAGACAGGGTTTCTCTGTGTAGTTTTGGTTCCTTTCCTGGATCTTGCTCTGCAGACCAGGCTGGCCTGGAACTCACAGAGATCCGCCTGCCTCTGCCTCCCCAGTGCTGGGATTAAAGGCGTGCGCCACCACCGCCCGGCTTTGCTGTGTTGTCCACCCTGGTCTGAAACTGGTGATCTCCATGTCTGTCTTCACCCTCTCAAATACTGAGATTATAGGGGTGTGCCACCATATCCAGGACAACTGCCTGTTTTTATATGTCAGCATGATTTAATACTAGCAATTGCATGTGGTTTAGTCTAATACTTTTTAGGACTTCAATTTTTTTAATACTTTTTAATTAAACTATGATGACGACATCTGACCTCTTCGCTCTCCTCTGTCCAACCACTCCCTTGTGCTCTCTCCCTGCCTGCTCTCTCTCAAATTCATGGCCTCTTTTTCTTTAGTTGTTTACTGTTCCTAAGTATAAAAAGGCACAGGATCTACGTAACGTAAAGCTGCTGTCATCTGGTACTCAGCCCCGAGGTTGAACTGTCCTCATTTTATCTACTTTCTGATCTGTTCAGTACGTTGGTGAGAGCGAACGTGCTGTGCGGCAGGTTTTTCAACGAGCCAAGAACTCAGCACCCTGTGTGATATTTTTTGATGAAGTGGATGCTTTATGCCCTCGAAGATCAGACCGAGAAGTAAGTAAAGATTTTTTTATATAAGTATGGCTATGTTATCTTGATTTTATTTTTTCCTGTTGTATACTATTCTACAGTCTACCTATAGCAGAATTTACTTGATAGTGTCTTGTTTTAGATATTTATATTTCTTCTAGGTGTTTCTTTTACAAACAGAACTTTCTCAAACATTTGTAGCTGCTGTCTTTGGGCATCTATACAAGTAATGTGGGATAGAATTTGGGAAGTATGAATCATGGCTGAAGATGTATATACATTAGACTTAGTGAAATATAGTAATTACAAGGTCATATTTCAAAGAATCTGTCAGGCATGTAATAACCAAGAACAGTGTGTTTATTAACCATTTCCCACACCTTTTGTCGATTACATTAACAAAACATATTTTGTGGACATGTTCTTGATTTCATAGAGGTTTGACCATTTTCAGTAAATTTATATTTTGTCATCTATAACTTACTTGGTAATATCAGATACACTTTGGCCTTTTTACTCCTGGAACTTCTTGATTAGAGCTTCTTATATGTAGTGAAATTAGTCCCTTTTCTGGGTTTGCATGCTAACATCAGTTCTCCAGTCTTATTACTTACCTTTATTTTGTTACAGAGTATTGTAATTTTAGCTTATTATTACAAGGTCTACCTCCTGTCTGGATTCTGTAGTTTTTCTCTTTGTTAAGGAGGATCCTTTTTAAATTTTATTTTTGTATGTATGTGTTGTGTGTATGATGTATGCTCCTTGTGTGCAGGTGTGCATGCCTATGTGTGTGTGTTCACAGCAGCCAGAGGAGGATGTCAGGTGTCCTGCTCCTACACTCCTTGGCTCACTCCTTTTGAGACAGGGTCTCCTACTGCACGTGAGCTCTACTGGTGGTCAGCAAGGCCGGTGAACGCTGTCTGCGTCCCCTTCCAGTGCTGCCACGCTCAGCTCTGATGTGGGTACCGGGTCCTAACTCACGCTCTCACGTTTGTGTGGCCTCACAATTTCCTTTTGAACCTAGGAGTTCTTTTTTTTTTTTTTTTTTCTTTTTTTTCTTTTCGATTCACGGTTTCTTTGTGTAGCCCTGGCTGTCCTGGAATCCACTGTGTGTATCAAGTTTTTCTCTGTACCACCAGCTCCCAAATAACAGCATGGAGATTTCTTATTAATTATGAAAGCTCAGCCTTAGCTTAGGCTTGTCCCACCAGCTCTTAGAACTTAAAGTGACCCATTTGTTTTCATGTGTGTTCTGTCACCCATTACCTCATCTCCATACTGCTCATGTTGCTTCCTCCACATCTGGCTGGTGACCCTGCCCTTTTTTCTTCTCTGTGTCCCAGAAGTCCCGCCTAACCTCTTTCTGCCTAACTATTGGCTGTTCAGCTCTTTATTAAACTAATCACCGTGACACATCTTGACAACAGTGTAAAGGAATATTCTGCAACCGCTGTGTAGATCAGGCTGACCTCAAACTCACAGAGATCCATCTTCCTCTGCTTCTTGGGTGTTAGGATTAAAGTCGTGCACTACCACATGGCTAAAATAAGTCTCCACAAATGCACCCATTTCAAAGAATCTGTATGTGTTTAAGTACATTGCTGTGTCTGTACATAAATTTATGTTGAAGAAAGGCAATTAATAATGAAACATCCATAGCACCACGTTCTCATTTCCTTCATTGTCTATGTATTCTATTGCCATGTTTCCATATTTCTGTAACCCTGTATTTATTTCCTGAATCATTCTCTTGGGTGTTGCCCTTAATAGCCATACTTTGTACCATTCATTTCAAGAAAAAGATAAAAAAAATCTCAATATACTCAATGTTCCTCTATGTATTGCATTGAAAGATGTGGGACACTTGACATAGGCAGAAATCTAGAGCTCAGAAGCTGAGTTTCGATTTGCCTAGATGGAGGTTCATGGTAACTTCTAAATATTTCAGAATTGTACAATTCAGTAAGAATTTCATCTCTCTCCTTATGTAGAGCTAAGACATGAGACAAATAACCTCATCTAAGCTTCTTTTTTTTTTTCATGCTGACTGAATAATAACAGCTTTGCTGGGGAATCCACTGACGATTGTGTTTTGCACAGTATCTATATATTGTGACGCTTTAAGAAGTAGTCATTGGTGCCCTTCTGCCTGCCTGCCTGCCTGCCTGCCTGCCTTTCTTCCTTCTTTCTTTCCTCACTTCCTCCTCCGGTCCATACCTTGTTCCTTTCTCTCTTTCTTTATTTTATATTTCTATAAAGAGCCTCTTGGTTTCTCAGTTTGACCCTATACTCCTAGACTTAAGTGATCTCTTGCCTTAGCCTCTGAGTACCTGGGACTTCTGGGTTCATGCTACTGCTCAGTCACTGTAATCTTTCAACAGAAAGTTCTCATTCAGGTTAGTAAATATATTCTGTGCAGAGGAAACATGGAGGAAGGAGGCTGCTTTCTTTATGTTGAAGGTGATGGAACTAGACATTTATTTATTTATTTATTTATTTATTTATTTATTTATTTATTTATTTATTTATTTATTTTGTAGACAGGCGCTAGTGTTCGAGTGGTGAATCAGCTGCTTACGGAGATGGATGGGTTGGAAACACGTCAGCAAGTTTTTATTTTGGCTGCCACTAATAGGCCAGGTAAGAAAGAACATTACACAAATGAGTTCATAAAGTGAAATATAACCTAAAACAGCTCTTGTGTGTAGCTCGAATTCTAATTGGTCTTAATAAAATCCAGAGTTAGATATCAGGGTGAAAGCTGAAAGATCAAAGAAGCAGAGCAGCTAGCCACCGAGAGTTCCTGTTTCCACCCCACCTTATCACTTCCTCTCTCCACCCAGCTATATCACTTCCTGTTTCCTTCTCCCAAGTGCTGGAATTAAAGGTATCTGCCACTACTGCTTGACCTCTAGTGATCTGATCTCCAGGCAAGCTTTATTTGTTAGAGCACAAACAAAATATCACCACACTTGTGTATGCTGTAGTAAAAACACTGGGGCTGGAGAGATGGCTCAACAGTTCAGAACACCCACCCACAAAACAGCACAGAACTGTGTGTAACTCCGGTCCCAGAGGATCCACTGCAAGCATGTAATGCAGACATATTTGCAGACAAAACATTGTACACATAAAATAAAAATATTGTCTGGGGGCTGGAGAGATGGCTCAGTGGTTAAGAGTGTTGGCTGACCTTCCGAAGGATGAGGGTTCAATTCCCAGCACCCACATGGCAGCTCACAACTGTCTGTGGCTCCAGGTCCAGGGGATCTAGCATCCTCACACATGCAGGCAAAATACCAATGCACATAAAAATAAATAAATTAAGAAAATTATTTTCCGATTTGTTGTCAGCTTGACACAACCTAGAGTCATCCTGGGAGACAGAAGGAACTTGACTTGAATGATTAGTTGCTCAGAATAGATTAGTCTTTGGCAATGTCTGTAAGAGATTATCTTGAGTGTTGGCATGAGAGTCAACCTCCCCAGGCAGGTAGATAAAGAAAACTAGGGCTGGAGAGATGACTCAGAGGTTAAAGGTACTTTTGATGCTCTTGCAGAGGACATGGATTCAGTTCCCAGCACCTACATCTGCTCACAACCATCTATAACTCCAGTCCATGGGATCCTATGCTTTCTCTTACTCTCTGGGTACCAGAGATACACGGTGCACATATATACATGCAGGGAAAACCTTCATAAAACATACAAAATAAAGCAGGGCAGTGGTGGTACACACCTTTAATCCCAGGACTTGGGAGGCAGAGTCAGGAGGATCACTGTGAGTTTGAGGCTATAGCCTGGTCTACAGAGCGAGTTCCAGCAAAGGCTCCAAAGCTACACAGATAAACCCTGTCTCAAATAACAAAATAACAAAATAAATAAAAATAAAAAATAAATAAAAGCATATAAAATAAAAATAAACAAATCTTTAGAAAAAGAGAAAGCTGATTGAATATGAACCAGTGAGCAAGCTTTTAGCAACAGTAAGTGTAAGCCATATAAATACTTTTTTCCCCTAAGTTGCTTTTGGTCATTTTTTACTCTTAGTGCTTATCACAGAGATAGAAACAAACTAGAACAACCCTAATAAAGTGGTCTTCTTATCAGAGAATCCTTGTACCACACTCTCCACTGTTTCTGGTTTGTTTATTTGATTTTTGGAGAAAGGATATTGCTACATAGGTTGGCCTTGAGCCGTCTTCCTACCTTAGCTAACTTCTTGAGTGCGGAGAGTAGAGGCGTGGACCACCATGCCTGGCATAATGCACACTTTTGACCCTAAAAGTGGTCTCAGAGTGTGTGTGCTGTGGTTTTCCTCAAATTCATAGGAAACAAGGAACAGACTCTTCATTATACCCAAAAATTTAAGATAAATTTTTTAAGGATTTTATGCTGGAGGCTTGCCCCATTATTGACCTCTACCTATGATTTAAAAATTGTTTTCAAGCTTAAGCATTCTATGTTAGATTTGAAAAAAGACTAAAAACTTCCAAAGTGCTAAAGTTAGCTTTTCTTTTTTACTCTAATTTCTATTCATATTTTTAACCCTTTGCCTTCCCTGCAATCCAGACTTTCATAGTCTACTCTGATGTTTGATAACTGTCTGCTAGCCAGGAGACTTTGTCAAATTCTCAGGAGCTAGAGTTACAGGCACTTGTGAGCCACCTGGCCTGGATGTTAGGATCCGAACTCAACTGCTCTGGAAGACCATCAGCTGCTGTTAACCATTGAGCCCTCACTACGGTTAACAGCACTTAGGACTTGATTATGGACAATGTATTAGTGTCTGTGGCTTTGAAGAGACACCATGACACCATGACCATGGCAGGTCTTATAAGAAGAAAGGCTGGCTTACAGTGTCAGCGTTTGAATGCATTGTCATCACAGGCAGACACAGTGTTGAAGAGGTAGCTGCGAGTTTTATGTCTGGATCCACAGGAAGCAAGGAGAGAGAGACTCTGGGCTTGGAATGGGCTTTGAAACCTGAGAGACCACCCCAGTGACACACTTCCTTCAATAAGGCCACACCCATTTCAACAGCTCCCTAAGCATTCAAATAGACGAGTCTGCGGAGCCGTTCTTATTCAAACCACCACTGGGACATGCTAAATTAGCTCATTGGCCACATGATTGAATTTGGGCTTTTCCCCAGAATTCAGGGCGTGGTTCAAAATTTGAACACTGATTCCCTTCCTGGGCTGTGCTATGACTCATCTTCATCCTAATGATATCTAGGGACTCATCATAAGTCACCTCATTAGTGCAGCAAAGACACTCTTGTCACTCAGAAAATTCTAAACATTCTGTACTAGGAGCAGAGACTATGTATATTCTTTTTGGTCGTTTTGCCTTATTTTGTTATGTTTGAGACAATCTTTTTATGTAGCCCATGCTGGCCTTAAATTCAAAATTTTCTTGCCTCGACCTTCCAGGTGCCAGGATTACATTTACATTTTCAACATACATAGTATACCGCAGGGTTTTTTGTTTGGTTGGTTTTTTTTTTTTTTTTTTTTTTTTTTTTTTTTTTTTTTTTTTGTGTGTGTGTGTGTGTGTGTGGTATACTACATACTATACTATATATTACTGCATCTTAGTGACTGTCAGATGAAAATACCTACTTGGCAGGATTGTCTTACAATCTGAGTGTTGTTGATAATGTTAGCAGGTCATGAGCAATTACAATACTACAAAACTAGTATTGGGAATTGTCTTAGGGTTGCTGTTGCTGTGAAGGGACACCATGACCAAGAAAACTTTTATAAAGGAAAACATATAATTGGGTCTTGCTTATAGTTTCAGAGGTTTAGTCCATTATCATCATGGTGGGAAGCATGGCAGTGTGTGCTGGAGAAGGAGCTGAGAGTTCTACATCTTGATCCACAGATAGCAGAAGGAGAACTGTGTGCTGTACTTGGTGTAACTTGAGCATCTATGAGACCTCAAATACTGCCCCAACAGTGACACACTTTCTCTAACAAGGCCACACCTACTCCAACAAGGCCACAATTCCTAATAGTGCTACTGTCTATGACACATGAGTCTATGAGGGCCATACCTATTCAAACTATCACAGGAATAATGATTGATCATAAGATTATAGAGTCTTTCAAGACAAAACCTTGATTTAAAGATGTCATACACTACCTTTCTTGAGCATATACATTTTTTTCCTAGCAGATTTCAAAAAGATTGTCTTCCAGCCTTCTGTAGCAGCATATTCTTTCATTAATGGGCTATATATCACTGTTCATATTTGTGTATTGTAAGCAATTTTGATGTTTATTTAATTTCAGTAGATTAGAGAATAATAGGCCCTTCAGTGTCATTAAATTTTCTTTAATTATCTTCTGAGTATTTATATACATTTTATCTTTCCTAATAGGTTTCTTGTGTCATCTTAAGAGTTCCTTACTCTCCAGTTCTTTATTCTTAGTTGTAAAACATAGTATTCTGTTTAACATTTCTGTACTGATTTGGCCTATGTTGAGTGACTGATGAATCTTAGTTTACCTGTGTTTGCCCTCTCATGCTCTCTTATATCTCATCCACTCCTTTTTCCCTTATAGCAAACCCTGCTGTGTCAGTTTACTGCATATATTTACAGATAGATTGTCCGGGTCTTTTTCAGTTGTATTCATGACTGTTTGGCCGTTCTGTTTCATTGTCTAATGTGACTATTTTGATGTCTATAATTATTTTCTGCCTAGGTTTTTTTTTAATTAATTTTTTTTTTCAGTGCTGGGAGTTAAACCCAGGTTCTTGTGCATACCAAACAAGTACTCTATCAGTCACTGGGCTACAAAAAAAACCCCCACTTTTTTGTTTGCAGTATGAAGCTCAGCACTGTGTTGTAGCTACTAAGAGCCTCCAGGAACACAAAGGAACATAAGACAGTTGGATATGTTTTGATAAGTAGTAGCTTTTGATTTGTGTGGGAGGGGTATGTGTACATGAAATCTGTATGCAAGTGTGTGTGCATGTATGTGGAGGAGAACATAGGGTGTCTTCCTCAGTCTTCACCTTGTTTCTTGAGACAGGATTTCTCACTAAACCAGAAACTCACTATGGCTAGATTGGCTGACCAGGATCCTCTTATCTCTCCCTTCCAGTGCTGATGTTACAGGCAGTTGCTGCCATGCTTTGCTTTTTATGTGAGTTCTGGGGATTTGAACTTAGGTCCTAATTCTTGCATTGTAAACACTTTACTAACTAAGCCACTGTCCCAGCCCCAGAACATTGGACTTTAATAATACCCAATTGAGCACATTTTTAGCTTTTTTTAAAAAAGAACTCTGTCTTTTACTAATCACATTAAAAAACAACAACAACAACAACTGTCTGGGGTTTCTGTTTTTCTCTCTTCTCTAGATATCATTGACCCTGCCATTCTGCGGCCAGGCCGGCTGGACAAAACACTCTTTGTAGGTTTGCCTCCCCCGGCAGACCGTGTTGCCATATTGAAGACTATCACAAAAGTAAGTAAAAGAAATGAGGTTTTTTGTTATGTTTGTAGTGTTTAAAAATGTTTGTATTTTGTGTATGTATATGTGTATCCACATGAATTTATGCACACTACATGTAAGCAGTTGCCCAGTAAGGTCAGAAGGCATCAGATCCTCGGGACCGGAGTGATGCAGTTCTGTGCCTCCTCATGTGGGTGTTAGGAACCGAACCCAGGTCTTCTGCAAGAGGAGTAAGTGCTCTTAACCACTGAGCCATCTCTCCAGCCCTGCCCATATTGATTTTAAAGTTACACCAGGTAGTAATTAGGTTAGCTGATTACTCTTTTTCAGTGGCTTAAATGTTTATCAGGCCTCCATCTCCCAAAGTAGTCTGGTTTTGATCACTGAACATACTGTCCATTCTCAGTTTTCCTACTCAGAATGAAGGTAAACTAAATGAAGGATTGGAATTAGTGTTAACCAGTGCTATCAGATATCACTGTAATCATGTTCCCTGTGTCTTTAAATCTTTGATCATCAGATCTTGTCTGAATGGAGTAGGAAGTTTTGGAGGCAGTAAAGCAAGTAAATACAGGTCCATCAGGAACATTCAGAGACACAATTGAGATTTGAAGTCTTCATAATGACGTCTGTTTTCCGAGTTAGCATAGTTAGTTTTGTTGTTGTTATTGAGACAAGGTCTCACTATATAGCCTGGACTGGCCTGGAATTTGCGACATAGATCAGGCTGGTCTTGAACTCACTGAGATCTACCTGTCTGCCTCCTGAATGCTAGGATTAAAGGCATGCGCTGCCATGCCTGGCCTTCATAATTAACTCTCTTTTCTTAGCCCTGGCTATCCAGGAACTCACTCTGTAGACCAGGCTGGCCTCAAACTCAGCGATCCTCTTCCCTCTGCTTCCAGGTTTCAGGTAAAAGTCTCTAATGGCATACGAAATATATATGGGAGGTTCTATGTGCTGTGTGACCGTCGAGGTTAGGGTGGAAGATTCTTTTGGATATTAAAGCCTCTCATAGCAGCTCCTGCCCACTTGGGTGGCTCCCAGCCACCAACTCAGTATCTTCCAGTAATGGTTGAAAATGTTTACCATGGTGGTGTTGACAAGGATGATTGTCCCACTTTGGTGACACTTGGAATGTTCCAGTCCTTCTACATTATAAATCACTATGGTATAACCACTAGCACTACATAAACAACTTTCCTCTCTCTCCTCCCAATTATATCACAGAATTATAGGACTCTTCTGTAGATGAGATACTAATTTGATTTTTCAAAGCATTTTAAAAACAGTGAGAGTCACCATGGAGGAAAAGTGAGGCAGATCCCTCTGAGTTTGAATCTAACCCAGTCTACAAAGTGAGTTCTAAGACATCCAGGAACACACAGAGAAACCCTGTCTCTATCTTAGTTGTGTTTTTATTGCTGTGAAGAGACACCAGGACCATGGCAACTCATAAATGAAAACATTTAGTTGAGGTGACTCGTTTACAGGTCAGAGGTTCAGTCCATTATCATCATGGCAGGGAGCATGGCTGCATGCAGGCAGATGTTGTGCTGGATCTAAGAGTGCTAGAACTTGACTCAGAGACAACAGGAAGTTGACTGACTGTCACACTGAGTGAAGCTTGAGAAAAGAGACCTCAAAGCCCACCCCCACAGTGACATACTTCCTCCATACAAGACCACACCTCCTAATAGTGCCACTCCCTTTGGGGGCCATTTTTTTTTTTTTAAAAAACCACCACATTCCTCTCCCTGGGTTTCTATTGCTGTGTCGAAATACCCTGACCAACAAGCAAGTTGGGGAGGAAAGGATTTATTAGGCTTACACTTCAGCATTGCTCTTAATTCTCCAGATGTCCCTTTATTGAACTCTATAGCACTCTACATTGATTTTGGAGTTGGTTCTATTCCCTTAGTCATTGGCCTTTCTTCTTCATTAAGAACCAGTGGCATGGAGGTATATGAGTCTTTTAACACCTCAAACAAAACTCACATCTCGCTCTTATTCAGAATGGCACCAAACCTCCACTGGATGAAGATGTAAATTTGGAAGCAATTGGCAATGACCTTCGCTGTAATTGCTATACGTGAGTATTTAAGTCTCTGGTCTGTTAACTCTCTGGAGTATAGTTTGTTTCTTCATCTTCATCCAAAAAAAAAAGAAAAGAAAAAAAAGGATGCCCATTTCTCAGGTTGTTGGAAATTGTGGAAGCTAATGAGGTTTCCTGTGTAGCATCTTACGTAGTGCCTGGCTGGTTCTTGCTGTTTCCTTCTCAGAGGACAGCTTGCCTGTCCATTTGGATTCTGAATTCCTGACATAGACTGTTTCTGTTGGCACTCAAGCTTCCCTGACCACATTGTTACCCTTGTTAGTTATACTTTGAGAATATGTAAAGCATGTGTTTCTCACTGGATACCATATTCCTTAAGTACATCTGTACAACAGAGGTTAATCTGCAAGACTGTGTGCTCTGCATACATGTGCACATTGAGCCTGCAACAGCAGCATGACTCCTGATACTTCTGCCTTCGGCTTTTGTTTATTCTTGTTGTGGTTTAGCTGAGACCCTCCAGCCGCTCTGTAATTTTAAAGCTCTGTTGTTTGTCCCTAACACCTTTGCTACTTGGTATTTGCCTCTATAGCAAGGGCAAATAATACTGGACTTCCCACAAAAAAGTAAGCTAAGTAAGTCAGTATTTTCATCATTGAGGGCTTCAGGGCTGTTGCTCAACAGTGTAAACTTACTTCCAAGACCTAGTCTTGAATGGTAACTTGAATATTTGATACCTGAGGTTTTAGTTCCAAAATTCACCTCCTCCTCCTCCTCCTCCTCCTCCTTCTCCTCCTTCTCCTCCTCCTCCTCCACTTCTTCCTCCTATCTTTATAAAGACTTTCTGTTCTGCCTTCTCATTGGTTGTAAACCCAACCACATGACAACCTCGTTACTGCCTGTCTGTAGAGACTTCCAGGTCTTCTATGGTTGGTACTGAGATTAAAGGCGTGTGTCTCCAATGCTGGCTGTATCCTTGAACACACAGAGATCTACTTAGCTCTGCCTACCAAGTGCTGGGATTAAAGGCATGCACCACCACCGCCCAGCTTCTGCAGTGGCTTGCTATTAGCTCTGACCCCCAGGCAACTTTATTTACTAACATACAAATAAAATCACATTTCAGTACAAATAAAATATCACCATACCTGATCCTAGTCAGTTTGTCCCACCATCATTCATTGTCCTTTTTCCTCATTGTTAAGTATATTATAATTGAACAGCTTTTAGAATACCTAAGAATACACAAAAACACTTCTTTTATTACAGGGGTGCAGACCTCTCTGCTTTGGTCCGAGAAGCTTCCCTCTGTGCCCTGAGACAAGAAATAACAGGACAGAAGAGTGCAGTTGGAACAGGTATGAGGCTCTCTGGAATCTCTTTCTAGTCTAGTTTATTATTCTGGATATTTAAAAGCCTTGCTGCCCTTTAAAATGATACTTTTCTAGCATTTTTTTAAAACAGTGTGTAATAACAATGACTGTTTTGATGAGACCTTTAGAAGTGTTGTGGAATATTATGTAAACTCTTGTTGACACAATAGTCGTTATTTAGTATCTCTCTAATAAGCAGCATTGTATCTTGTCAGATACACAGTGGTTAGATAGAGGCAAATGTGTTTGCTCACTGCCATTATGAGTTTGCTGCTTAACAATTTGGAAAATTAATTCTTAATTCTTTTGCTAAGGTAAAACCCACTTGCCTATTAAAATTCAACCTAAATTGGAAAGATTAAGAAATACCTAATTTTCCATATACCAAGATTTTCCTTTGAAATATAAAATCAGATGGCAACTTTTATCTCTCAGTGATGGAGAATTTTCTTAGCATGTGCAAGGCTCGGGATTCTTTCCCCAGCATCACAAAAGCCAGATAGCCCAACGACAAAATCCATGTATTCCTTTATGGATGATATGGTGCCTTTTCAACATGTTTGTTGTTTACTTCACATTTCAGTACTATTTTTGATGTTACTATTTGGGTATGTGTGGCCAGAAAAGATTCATTTATGACCTGTATTCCAGCCACATGCAGTACAGAAGTAGCCTTTACTTTGCCTAAGTGTCTCTGAGGTGCTTTGCACTGTACAGATGTACACTCATTGGAACTTCAAATGTGTACTGGTCTCCTTTTAATTGTGTGTATATGTGTGTCTATGGGGGGTTGGGTGAGGGAGGGATGTGCACATGAATGCAGGTGCCTTCAGAGACCACACGGGCATTAAGATCCCCTGGGGCTGAGGTTGCAGGTGGTTGTGAGCCCCCTGACATGGGTACTGGAAACTGAATTCAGGCCCTCTGCAAGAGCAGTATCCACTCTTAATACTGAGTCATCTCCTGCCCACCTCCACAGATGTTAAAGCTAAATATTGTTATGGCAACATATGCTTAGCATAGATTTATTGGCACACATGCATATATTTATTAGAAAAGGTGTTTTGGGGAGTGTTTTTGATTTTTGTTTTGTTTGCTAGATAATGTTTAGATTCAGTTGTCGAAACTTCCTTTTTTATAAACTGTATTCTGTTCCTTTTGGAAGTTAATGATAATAGGCAAACTTAGAACATTTTATAAGCAAAAATCAGAGCCACATTTGGCTGTGTACCTGTAATCTTCATACTTTTTTTTAAAAAAAGATTTATTTATTGTGTATATAGTATTCTGTCTGCATATATGTCTTCAAACCAGTAGAGGGCACCAGATCTCAGATTGTGAGCCACCATGTGGTTGCTGGTGATTGAACTCAGAACATCTGGAAGAATACCCAGTGCTCTTAAACTCTGGGCCATCTCTTCAGCCCTATAATCTTCATACTTAAGAAACCAAAGCAGAACGGTCTTACATTTATGGGTCACATGATGAGACTCTGTCATATCTTCCTTGCTCCCATCCTCCACACCACCAAATCCAAAATCACGTATGCTACTTTGTAAGCTGAATCTGATCACCTTCTTAGGGTATGTTCGGGGACTAAAAATTACAGGCCTTTTCTCATGCATTGGAGTTGCCACTCATTTGTCTGCTTGTTGTTTGTGTGCACATGTAACAAATTCTGCCGTCTCTGCTTTGCTGTGGCTTTCAGTTTTAGCTCTCTGGCCTTTAGAGACTTTGCCCTAATACCTTACCCAAACCATAGCTAACTCTGCTGTCCAACATCTCAGTGACATGATCAGCAACATGTGTTACCTTATTTTAGGTAAATCTTGTCTTTGAGAATGTTTAGCCTTTTATTACTCAGTAGTGTGACTTTGTATTCAAGAACATACCCTTGGGTAATAATACAGGTTCCTGGTTATTTCTAGTTCTATTGACCATCTCTTCTTATAATCTCTTATACCTGAGACCACACTGGTCATTTCTGACTGTGTGAGCAGCATGCACAGCTTGACTTGAACGATTTTTCTTCCATCCCAGCATTTCTGAGAGACAGTGACTCCCAGCAGTAGTCCTGTTTCCTTAGACAGACGGAGAGGTTCTCACTGCGGCAGGGCTGGAGAGGGCATAGTAAATGCACCTGAATAGGTTCCATCTGATCACCTGTCTCACTTTTCCTGTCTTTCAAGTTAATGGACTAGACTGAGGTGTGTATTGATGCATTTCTTCCACAGGTGAGCTCAAGGTCAGCCATAAGCATTTTGAAGACGCTTTCAGGAAAGTAAAACCATCTATATCAATAAAGGTGAGAAACATTCTTCAGTGTCTAGAAAAGAGATGGGAAATTACACCAGTGGATAGAAACTTACAAATTTTATTAGTTTATTTTACTTATTTTTTTTATTGAGGGATAGTCTTTATGTATCCTAAGCTAGCCTCAAACTCATGAGCCTCCTGCTTCAGCCTTCCAAGTGGCAGGACTATAGACATGTGCCACGAGACTCCTCTTCCCTGGCACATATAATAGGAGATCAATCTTAATGTTCGTATGATGAAATGGTATAGCTACTTGAAAGACCACAAAACATCTCCCAAACTTATTCTTAAATAAAAAGCATAGGAATGTGTCTCTATATGCTTTTTTGTTAAAGGGTGAAATAATTAATTGTAGTTGTGCCTGTATTTCCAGAAAGAAAATGTATATGGAAACATTATCGGAAGGAGAGGTTACAGTATGGGAGAGAGATTCTTTTTCCTCCCAAAGTTTTATATAGTTTGTTTTTCACACTTATTTTGTATTGGTGCATCTGCCCATGCACTCATGCCAACCTGCTGGAGTCAGTTCTCTCCTACCACGTGGGGCCTGGGATTAACTCAGGTCACCAGGCTTGGCAGCAGCTGCCTTCATCCACTGAGCTCTCTGCCTGGCCTAAGTAATATATATATATATATATATAGGTTTTTTTTCGAGACAGGGTTTCTCTGTGTAGCTCTGCGCCTTTCCTGGAACTCACTCTGTAGCCCAGGCTGGCCTCGAACTCACAGAGATCCACCTGGCTCTACCTTCCTAGTGCTGGGATTAAAGGTGTGTGCCGCCGCCGCCGCCGCCACCACCGCCGCCACGCGTATTATATATTTTTAACGCTTCTGACCACTTTACCTATCCAGAAGAGAAATTTGATGCAATTGGCTTTGTTTTGTTACTCAGGGTTTTTGATGTTGTTTCTTTATGTTTGGGGGATGTGTGTTGTTTTAATTTTTTGTTTGTTTTGGTATTTGAGACAGTCCAGGCTGATCTCAAACTTCCTGTCTAGCTGAGGATAGCTTTGAATTTCTGATCCTCCTGTCTCCTACCTCCCAGTGATAAGATTATAGACATATACCACCACACTTGGCTTTATGTGGTGCTAGAGATTGAAACAGGGCTTTGTATATACCAGGCAACCAGTCTGCCAAATGAGCTACATTCTCAGTCTGTCTCTGGATTTTGAGACAGGGTTTCACTCTAGCCCAGGCTGCCTTGAGTTCATGATGATCCTCTGCTCGAGACTCCTGAGTGTTGAGATTGTAGGCGTGAGCCATCATTACACCTAGCACAATTGACTTTTGAGATCGATTTTTCTTTTATTTTTTACATTTATTTTGGGGGGTGGGGGTTGCATATCTGTACCATAGCATGCAAGCAAAAATCAGAAGATAACTTGAGAGTTCTTGTTTCCCCTCAGTGGAGTCTAAGGATTGAACTCAGGCTGCTGGATCTGGCAGTAAGTGCTTTCATCTTCGAAACTATCTTGCTGGCCCTGGGATGGATTCTAAATACCTGGAAATGAACCAGAACACATTTTCAGTTTTTCTTTGGGATAAACAGGCAGGAGTGGTGTTGCCATCTACACTGGAAAGGTCAGTGTGGCAACAGTGAGCTTCCACTACATACTTGCTGGATTGACAGCATTTTGAAAGATTAGCCACAGCAAGGGAGGTAGGATGTGATGCTAGAAGTCTCATATATTGTATTGGAAACTGCAGCCATCGGGTTGGGAGCCAGTCTGGCAGTTTCTTGGAAAGTTAAGACACTTTAGAAGGCTTTACTTTTGGTTCCTGTTTCCATCTGGATTCAGGGTAATTTACAGATGCAAATATCTCTTGACTTGGTTTGCAAACTTCCCTGGACAATGATGGAAACTGTGGCGTATCCTAGAAAGGAGCATGTACAGACTCCAGATGCAGGAGCAAGGCAGAATCTCTGGGTCCAGCAGCTAGGGCTGCTGTAACCAAGGGCCATAGATGGGCATCTTAAACAATAGAGGCTGTGTTTTCTCGCTGTCTTGTCAGAGTTTCTGTCCCCACAGGTGTCCTCTTGGTCCTGTCTTCACAGTCCTTCCGTATGTGCATTCTGTGCAAACTTCCTCTTGTACAGTAACCCCAGTCCTTTGGGACCGAGGCTCACCATCACTGCTTTATTTTAACCTAACACCTCTGTAGAAACCCTGTCTCCAGGGACAGCCACACTCCGAGGTCCTGGGGGTCGGGGCTTCCACATAGGAGCTTGCCAGTTACACCTCCTATCCCATAACTGATTGATCAGCACTATGTGGTATTTTCTATCCTCACAGGATCAAAAGATGTATGAAGCCCTGCAGAGGTCCCTCAGTCAGTGACATTTGCAGAACCTGGCATGGAGGTGTCTAGTGCATGGAACTCACCAAGAATCACACTTGCTCTGAAGGGTCTACTTTCAGCCTGACGCAGATGACCTCATTGTAAGCATTTTATTTTCAAATTATTGAGGCCGAACTGGAGAAGATGATGTTTCCCATCTGGCCAGCCTTGTTGGGAAAACTCCCTACCTCCTCTCTAAGAAAAAGAAAGAAAAAAGGACTGATAAAGTAAAGCCTTATTCAAATAAAATTTTATTTTTAACTATCTTGATCATCCATAGAAGTTACAAAAAACTTTTCCTGAGAAGTGGTCACCTTACATCCCATCACCCCAGGTACACATTCATATAGGTTTTATGTAAACCAGGATATTTATCTACATAACCAACCATCAAAAACACTGACACATTGCTACTATTTAATTATCAAATTTTAGCTGTCTTTTTCAGCTGCTCTGATGTCCTTTATAGTAAAAGATCTGATCTAAATTAGCTATTCCAGTGTTTTGTCTTCTAGTTCCCTTATAATTTCCAAAAGTTTTTGTTGTTGTAGGGTTTTTGTTTTTGTTTGGAGACAGTTTCTATGTATTCCTGCCTTGCCTGGAACATACTGTTTAGCCTCTGCCTCCCAAGTGCTGGGATTAAAGGTGAGTGCCCCATATCCAGCTCTTTTGAAGTTCCTAGGTCAGTGATTTGGTTGACTTAATTTGTATCTTCTTAAAGATACAGTAGTAAAGCTGTTCCCTGCATTCTCTCAGGTGGTAATGCAATTTCAGTGTTGCTTAAGACTGTTACTATGGTCACTTGATTCAAGTGGTTCTGACAGGCTTCTTACCCTACAGAGTTATTCCTCCATTTCCTTTTTTTTTTTTTTTTTGGTTTTTCGAGACAGGGTTTCTCTGTGTAGCTTTGCACCTTTTCCTGGAACTCACTTGGTAGCCCAGGCTGGCCTCGAACTCACAGAGATCCGCCTGCCTCTGCCTCCCAAGTGCTGGTATTAAAGGCGTGCGCCACCACCGCCCGGCTCCTCCATTTCCTTTTTAATTTACACCCAGAAGATATTTTTACCTCTTCCACCCATATTCCACCCTCACCAGATTCAGAGTATAGTTTTTTCAATTTATTATTCATTATCATGGTTTGATGTTCAGATTGTATCTTTAGTGAATTTCTAAACCATTGATATGTGAGCGATTTTATGTCATGATTATTTCATCAAACCACTTAAGTGTTACTGTGTCTTGTATAAACAGGTCTGGTTACTTCATTTTCTTCTGAAGTATTTATTCTATCTCATTCTACAAAGTCTTCGGATTACTTTTAAGAATGATATTGATGGGGCTGGAGAAATGACTTAGTAATTAAGAGTATATGCTGCTCTTTCAGAGAACCAAGTTTGGTTCCCAGCTCCCACATAGGCAGCTGAAAACTGCCTGTACTTCCAGCTGACCCTGTACCTCTGGCTTCTACAGACACTTGTACTCACACGCATGCACACATACTCCCCCCCCTCCCGACACACACACACATGCACACTTTTTTAAAAATAAAATATATTTTATAAAAAGAATGAAATTCATAATGGGTTGGCAAGGTGGCCCAGCAGGTAAAGGCACTTGCTACCAAGCCTCACAACCTGATTTTGATCCTGGGGACCCACGTGGTGGAAAGAAAGAGCTAACTTCTAAAAGTTGTACTCTGACCTCTGTGAGTGTGTGTGTCTCTTTCACACACACATATAAATAATAAATTGCAAAAATATGACTGAAATAAAATCACATTTACAAAGGTCAAGACTTTTTTCTTGAGGACTTCAGAGAAGTTTATAGGTACTAAAGAAAATGACACTCTGTTCAGTGAAAGATATAAAGGAGAACAGTATTGGATCCCAGGAGATCAACAGAGGCTAAAAAAAAACAACAACCAGCATCAGTGGAGCTAGATGATTGGGGGTGATCGGAAAACACCACCTGGCGTATCAGAGATCTTCCTGCCAACTGAGTGTTGGGTCTAAGTACATTTAATTTCTGGTGGCCTGGACATAGAATACAGTCTGTAAGAGGTGACGGATGTGGGACAAGCTGAACAGAAGTCAGTTACTGGGCAGAAAACAGATCTCAACATTTCTGCAAATGACATCTTTGGACATGCTCTGTGTACTGCGTGACATTCTTATGTGATGTTCTCAACTCAGGATCTGTTGACATCCTATTTTTTTATATCCTATACTTTTATAGAAATGAAGATTGAGATTTTGCTAATACTGACAGCCTAATAGTCTGGCTATCTAACTTTTTTCCGGCGAAGAAGATTCATCCTACTGTTTAGAAACATCTGGAATTGCATCTACTGTCCTCGTCAAAGATTTAGCCATCTTAAATACATTTTGTAGCCAGATGTGGTGGCACATGCCTTTTAATCCCAGTACTTGGGAGGTAGATGGATGGATCTCTCAGTTCCAGACCAGCAAAGGCTGTGTCATGAGACTGTCTTTTTAAAAGGTACATTTTGTGTTAGACACTGCAGCTGTGATGAAGGAGCAAGCTCAGAACTTTCATGCCTGATGTGGTGTGGGCCAGATACTGCTAATTGTTCCTTGATGCCCATTCTCATTTCTTTTCCCTTCTGTAAGAAGAGCCTGGAAACCTAGCCAACTAACTCCCTGGGGCTAGTGAAGTCATGGATCTTAGAAGAAAGCATATACTGCCACCACACAGACTAGCATAATTCCTAACTGCATTCCAAAACTTGTACTCACAGATGAGTGCAGCTTTTACCCCACATCCAGGAAGCGTCTCTTTGCAGCGGATAGAGACCAGTACAGAAAACCACAACTGGCCATAGTGCAAAGATCAACTTACTGTGGGGTTCCCAGTCCCATCAGATACATCTGCAACACAACTCCTGGTCCCAGGGGTCAGGAAATATCAAAGAAGAGGGAGTGAAAAGATCGGGAAGTCTGCTGTGAGATTCTGTCTCCTAGACTTGACAGGCTCCACCTATGATACATCAACAGTATGTCTGCCTAACAAGACCTGAACAATGACAATACAAATGACAATACAAATAGACATTCTAGTGCAAGAAGGTGAAATCTCATGGGGTCCCATCCCTCAACAAAAAACAATAGGCAGCTAATGACTGCTGAGAGAGAAAATTAGGGGTGAGCCTCCCTAACTGGTAATCCAATAAAAAGTGACCTGTCATGAAACATTAAACTGACTTAACAGTGTGTGTGTGTGTGTGTGTGTGTGTGTGTGTGTGTGTGTGTGTGTGTGTCCCCGTGTGTGTAAAACAATAAAGAAAAGGCAACCAATTCAAGAGGGAGTTGGGATGGGAAGCGTTTGAGGGAGGAAAGGGAAGGGGTAAGTAATGTAATTATTACAAGGTTACCCTGACCTAAACCTGACAATCATGTCATTGTAGTTTTTGCCTTTATAAATGCTGCATCCCTGAGCTTTGGGTCAAGAGTTCTTTGTGACAAGAGCCTGCTCTCTGTCTTAAATAAAGAACTCTTAGTTGGTCTTACATACATGGTGGTCTGTAACTTTCTTGTTTGGACTGTAACAGGTCAACTGTGCTGCTGGAAGCCCATAGCACCAGCACACCAGTTGGGGTACAATCCTTCAGAGCCAGTTTTTACTGATTTCAAGTGAATTCATCTCAGGTCTCCTGACCACTGCAGAATCTCACATATTAAGAATTTCCTAAAGAGTTTGATCATGCAGGGATCAGAAGTGAGGTAGTGGGAATCCCAAGTCAGAAGTCTTAACCTCCCTAGGATTTGAATTATGGATTACTAGGTGAAAAAGCAGGACAGTCTAGAGTGGTAACTGGACCTGTAATCCCAGCCCTTGCGAGACAGCCTGGAGGATGCACCTGTTCAATGTTAACTTGGACTACATCGTTTCTTTCAGGCCTCCCTGGGCTACATAGTGAGACCCTGCCTCAAAACAAGAAAAAATAACCCAAAAAAATGTAAAGCAGAGTGAAAAAGTCGAGGTTTGGTGTGTGTGTGTGTGTGTGTGTGTGTGTGTGTGTGTGTGTGTTTTGGTGGTGGTGGTGTCGGTTTTTTTGTTCTTCATAGAAATGGCCTTTGAGCTGAAAGAACTTAGCATAGGAAGGATTTGGCTACACTGAACCAATCCCAGTGTCTGCACAAAGGGAGCTAAAGAAGCCCTGGATTCCCTGGAATAAAGACAACTTGGGGCTTGTGTGATATGATCCTCTGCTATGAGTGACTAACCTTCAAACCCAGAAACTGTCATTTTGATGATTTGCCCACACAGGGCACAACTTGTGGTTAAGAATCTATGACCTTCTCTTTTACACACAGCCTGTCCATGTAGGCTAAGCAGATTAGTTAAGGTTTAGACAAGCCTGACATGATTTAGACAGCATCATTAGTTGGTGGTAGGCATTGCTTCATGTGCTTTTAGTTCATTGAAGTTTCACAACTTTAAAAGTAGCTTTTCTGAATTAAGACAGCTGAAGACACCCACCAACTGAGTGCAAGCATCTCAAGGGAATAAACCTGTAGTAGTAACTTTCTCATCGGGACTGCCAGCCCGCAAATAATGACACAGAGACTTACTAATTGTGAATGCTTGGCCTTAGCCCTGGCATGTTCCTAACTAGTTCTTATAACCTAAATTAACCCATGTTTTTAATCTACATTCTTCCACGTGACTCAACGCCTCATCTCCACACTGCCCATCCTGCTGCTTCGGTGTCTGGCTGGCGACTCTGCCTTTCTTCCCAGAGTTCTCTCTGTCTGGAAGTCTAGCTATTGACCACTTACCTTTTGATTACACCAGTCACAGCAATCCATCTTTTCACACAAATATCCCACAACATAAACCCGTCACCTGAGGTAAGTGACAAACACTGAAGAAGCTGCAGAGAAGAAAAGCTTTGGGAAGCAGAACAGCAGAAGTTCATTCTTTACGTCTCAGCTTCTGACGAGAAGAGCAGCGAGGACCGCTGTGAAGGCAAGGGGGGAAGCCTCAGAAAATAAGAGTACTTCTGCATCAGGAATTAAGAGAAGGGTAGTGGAGATACAGAGGGGTGGAGAATGAACAAACCACTCCCCCAAATCTCAACAGATTCAGAAAACACAACACAGGGCTCCTCACTAAGCAGGTTTGCAGTCTAACTGGGTAGAGACCCTGGGGTCTATAAAACACAGGTGCTGACTGGCATAGTGGTTTGTACCTGTAATCCTCCCACTTGGGTCTAAGGCTAGCCTGGGGTACACATTGAGTGCCACCTCAGTATCAGATATAGAATGGGGCCATGTCTAAAAAACTAAAGTTTACAAACAAAAAACTAAACAAGATCTACAAACAAAAGAAATAGGTTTGTGTTTGGAAAATCATCTCAGCACTGGACCAGTGTGCTGCAGGAAGCCATTTAAAAAAATCCTTACTGAGTCTGCAGCCTGCAGTTCCACAGACCAAGAAAGATCCCCTCCTAAGTGCTCACTTAGGAGACCCAGAGCAAGCGCCAGGTGAGTATGCTCTGAGAGCAGCCCTGAAGAGCCCCTAAAATTGTGCATCAGCACCATGGATAGCTCTACAATTTCGAACTGTTGGAGTGGAGTTCATGTCCCCATCTTGGAGCCCAATAGAGAAGCTAGCTACCAGAG